AAATCTCAAAAACATTATAGTAGGTACAAGAAGCCAAACACAAAAGGCTATATATTGTATAATTCCATTTGCATGAAATTCTACAAAAGCTATAGGTCAATGGTTGTCAGGGAGTTTGCTAGGAAGAGGCTAACTACAAAGGGGCACAAAGAAACCTTTTTTAAGGTGATGGAAATCTATATCCTGGCTATGCTGTTCATTACATGACTGTATCCATTGCCAAAACTCATGAAATTATACACTTAAAATTGAGTTTTATTCTGTGTAAATTGTATCTCAATAAAATTCACTATAAAAAGTGATGAATTCACAGTTTTTATCTCATCAACACAAAAATGAACTTTAATTCCAGCATTTTAAAATTTTAAATCTAAGCATTTCCTACATAATACAAAATCAACATTAAGACCTGAGGCAAGTTACCACAGTAAATATACAGCAGAGATTGTTTTCATCTCTTACTAATTAGTGATAAAACTCAATTAAATAAAAACTAAGGTTTGTCCAAACCTACCCAAATCTATTAAAGAAAGAAGCAAATTACAAGTACACTCATTTAGACAAGCCATAACAAGTTTAGATATAAGAAGTGTTTTCTCAATGTGTTTCATTATGCAGTGTAGTAGTGAGTTTTTAATATTAGGTAAAAAGTTTTTATCAAATTATGACTTTCTAAAAAGATATACTTCTTGTTTATAACAATTATACAGTTTTTAGCAACAAAGTTCATAGTCAATTATTTACAAATACTGAAGAAAGAAGTAAGGCAAGAATGAAAATTCTGGCGAGCACTCTGCTTTCAGATGCTTTGACAATACTATTGCACTGCTAGCTGTCAAGTACAGTAGTGCAATAAAGTCAGAGCATTCGTAAGCAGTAATAAGTAGGAAAGGAACATAAACGAATCTTGCATCAGTTGAAGCTTCAGTGTGAAAAGAATTTGAAGTTGGATTGCCACTTTGGTCAGAAGACATCAAAACATAAAGACATTTATATCAATGTGATATTGGTTTTTGATGACTAATCAACCATTAACATTCGAATAGAAACATGCAGAGATGTAAAGGAATTTTTAAAATATCTTGAGTCTTGGTAGTAATTAACAAGTGTATTAGTAATACCTCAAAATTGGTATTAATAAAACCAATTAGAAGTACTAAGTCACAGTTGTGATAAAGTTTCCTCGTCTCTGATGAGATAGTTTGTTGGTTAGCTCCTTTTCCAAAGCAAAATGACTGATTGATTACCTGCCATATAAAACAAGCCCTTTGAATAAGAATGTTAAAGAAAATAAACGAAAAATAATAAATGTGTAAAATCTCTTATATACCCAATCTATTACTCTGGATTCTAAACTATAACACAAAACACACACACACACACACACACACACACACAAAGCATTTTGTAAGGCATGACAGTGCGTGCCTGTAATTCCAGTGACTCCGGACGCTGAGACAGGAAGATCACAAGTTTGAGGCCAGCCTCAGGGAAACCCTATCTCAAAAATAAAAAGGACTAGGGATGTACTCAGTGTTCTAAAGTGCCCCTGGGTTCAATCCTCAGTACCAAAAATAAAAGTACTTATCATTATAGCTTTTTATTTCAAGAGTTTACTGAGGACTATGATAACAAAGAAAGACACTGCCAAATAATCAATGTGAGCTAAACATGACAATATTATCCCAACCTAATTGAATTTTATGGAAAGAGGTTTTAAATATAAACCTTAAATATAAAAAGAAAGCAAATTAATTTCTTGTTAATTTTAAAATATCAAAATGAAAATAATGGAGAAAGAGGCCTGAGATGTAAACAATAAATTTCCTTAAAAAACAAATGTAAACTTAGAAATAGAAATCATAGAGTTGGGCATGGTTGCACATGCCTAATCCCTGCTACTCAGGAAGATAAGGCAGAAGGATGCAAATTTCAGGCCAGCCTGGACAATTTGGCAACATCCTGTCCCAAAAAATAACAAGGCAGGTAGATGTCACTTCTTAGTGGTAGAGAGGACCTAGCTTCAATCCCTAGGGACTCTGGGGGTTTGTGAGGATTAGTAAGCATATCATAGTATCACATTACACTTTTGTGTACAATCACTAGTAGAACCACAAAAGGAGGGCCTTCCACAAATATCATTCAATCAATAAGTAAAGGGAAAATAGTTAGAGAACACATATTACTTTACAATGAGGTTATTCCTCCTTTAGTAATGTTGACTGATGCAAAAATACTTTCCTCTTATTTTCACCAACCTTCCTTTAAATGGTCCAGTTCAGCTACTTAGGTGGCTCAAGCCCACCAAGAAATGGACTCAAATTTGGGACAGCTGGAACATAAAGAGTCTTGGCCTCAAATCCTGGGCCACAAAATTCAAATGTGAGAATATTTAACTCTTGTCAATCAAGTGTCATGTTTTAAAGACAAGTGTTTATAAAGACAAGTGTTTAGTATTCTGAACTGTAAGTTAATACAAGAAAATAGAAAAAAAATATTAAATTAAGAGGATCAGGCTATCTGTTTACAAAACTAAGATAACTTTTTCAAAGTTAAATACAATGCATTCTCTTTTCACCTACTAAATATTCCATACTGGTCCCCTGGCAATCCTTTATTTAAGTAATGTAAGACCAACAAACAAAAACCCATAAGATTGTACCAGAAATCATTTACCTTTAGAATCTTAGAAACTACACTGATTCTGGTTCATAGATTAAAACATTTTTTAAAGGAATATGGCAAATCCGAAGATGAGATGCACCATCCTTTACTATCGAGTCAATACAAAATAGGAATATTAAAAATAATAATAAAAATTCCAATTCATTCTTAAACTCTAATAATTTTTTTTAAATATTTATTTTTTAGTTGTAGTTGGACACAATACCTTTATTTGTTTTTATGTGATGCTGAGGATTGAACCCAGGGCCTCGCGGTTGCTAGGCAAGCGCACTACCACTGAGCCACAACGCCAGCCCGTAAACCCTAATAATTAGGAAAACAAACCAATAACTTGAAAAAAAGCTACCACTAATTTACTTTTAAGAAATTTAAGGGGGGAGGGAACTCTGCTTTCTAGTCTTCCTCTCATCAAAAGGAAGTTTAAAAGCTATCTCATAATTAAACATCTAAAAGTTTAAAAGTTGGCTGCCTCGTAACTTTCTAAAACCTCCATTTTTCAAAATGTTTACTTGCTTTTCCCTTAAAATAGAATTTGTTCATTCTAACAAAAAAAAAAAAAGAAGAAGAAGTTTTCTAAGAATATTGATGCTATTGCAAAAGCTAGAACAAAGTATAAAAATTAAACAGCCAACAGGCTGTGTGGGCATATATTAAAAAACAATTAGCATCAGGCAGCATATAACAACTAAGCAGAAATATCTGTATCTGCAGAGAGGAATTTAAAATGGGGGAGTGGGAAAAGACAGTCTTAATTTTTATGCCTGTTGATAGAAGTAAACTCCTATCCTTGACATTTCGTGTATTTAAAAAAAAAAGTAAAAATAAAAAATAAAAACAAAACGAACAAATATTCATTATTGCAGGTTTGGAAAATTGCAGAAAGAAAATTCGTCTTCCCTCCCATGTCTCCCTCCATTCTGTTTCCATACCCACACTCCCTCCACAAAGAAAATTTGGACACAAATGTTAAAGTAATTGAAAGCCTTGCAATTAAATGTAAATAAAACCGGTGCTTCAATTCCTTAACAAATCAAATGAAAATAATAAGATAAATCAAGGCCTAACATTTTTCTGGGGTGGGAATGGGGCGGGGGTAGTACACACTATCATCCAGGATCACCACAGATCCTTACCAAAGCAGAAGAACCAATATTCATCTTGGAAAGAGCAGTGTGGGCACACAGATATACCTAAGCAATAACGCCAGGGAATGGAGGGGAGGAGGAGAAACAGATTGAAGCTGGAGAAGAAAGAAGTTTTTTTGTACTTTTTAAAATTTGATCTTGTTATTTTCTTTAAAAAACAACAGGAACTCAAAGATGGGTACTTCCTCAAAGTTCCATATTTTTAAAGAAACCAACCCAATCTGAAAACACCGATAATGCAAGAAGAAAATAAAAGAGTGAAGGCAGAACAAGGGAGCCAAGAAAAAAGCGCGGGCTATCAAGCTGGTAGACTAAGGACGGGAGGGAGGGAATTAAGGGGACAAGAGAGGGTAAGGGCTAACCCCATAAAGAAAACAAGGATAGCCCTTCAGCTTGGCACCCTCCAGCAGGCCACACACAACAGCAACAAGGGGAGTGCTTTCTAGTTCTTCGCCCCCGCCCTCTACTTTCACAGATGAATGAAAATGGGCAACTCGTGAGCAAGGTGCCCTCCCATTTCCAATATCCCCGGCTCTCGAGGAAACGAGCCTATAGTTCAGATCCCCATAGCTCCGACGGCTCGCTCACCCAAAGCTTGCATCCTCCGGGCCAAACACATAGCAGTCTAGGGGACTCCCTTGGCCGCTAGGAAGTTGTAGCGCACGTTTAGCATCCTTTCTCAGCCCGCCTTCGAAAACATGAATGGTTCGTTTCTCCCCGCGCCCCCTTCCGCGGCTTACTTCCCACCCCACATCCCCCTTTTTTCTAGGGGTGTGAACGACCTCCTCCCGTCTTGGGGCGTTGATAGACCCTTCCAGTCGTGTGTGTGTGTGTGTGTGTGTGTGTGTGTGTGAATACATAAAACGCTGTTTCCATCAGGTACAGCTCCTTCAGGGATAGAAAAGTGAAGGCAAGAAACAAGAAATTCCAAAGGCCCCACACCCTCAGCATCTCCCGCCATTTCCCTCAAGAATTTCCCGGATGTACCCCTTCGCCCGCGGCGGTTAGGAGACCAGGCGGTGGCGGCTCCCTTTGGTGCAGGAGGAGGGAACTCCAATTTGGTCCAGCCTCCGCTGCCCAGAGTTTCCCGCAACTCCACATTGCTCCCCACCTTCGAGGCCACTGGGGAAAAATTAATTACCCAGTAGGTGTCCTTCACTTTGCACTCACCATCAGTTCGAGCTTATCGACCTCCGCCTCCATGTTGAATAGTTGACATTCCTCAGACCGCGGCGGCGCTTAAGCTGCAAGCCGTACTAGCACTGAGGGTCTCTATTGGACAGCTGTCACTCAATGTTTCGCACTCATTGGCTCCTCTGTTTTACCGGCGCCCGCCCATTGGCAACTGGGTGCCGCCCCTCCATATGAAACACATTTTCCTGTTGGATAAAGACACAAAACGCCGCAGGAGGATTGGCTGCAGCATATTTTTTTTTTCCATTGGCTACCCTATCTCTCTGCTTTCAATTTCATAGTTAGGGCTCAGCAGAGAAGAGCTTTCGATTGGTGAAATCACAAGAAGAACCAACCAATTACACAGAAGCTTCCACCGACAGCATAGGGGACGCGACACACCCTCTTTCCTCTCCCGCCTTCTCCTTATTCATACTAAAAGCGCCTCATGCCCGATTGGTCGGAGAGTAATTCTATCTCAGCCAATCATAAGCCAGGCTGTGTTCCTACGCTACCTGGAAAGCGAATCGTGGGGAAGCCACGTCTACGATTGGTCCCTCCGTGACGAAGATTTAATTTTGAATTTTTCTTTATGGCGTGGAAGAAGCCACTGCCCGGACTCCATCTAATCCCCAGGCTCTTAGACTAGTAAGTGCAGGGACAATTCTTTCTGTGTTACCTGGGCTCGGATCTTCCGTGATTGGACCTGTTGCTGCTTGTGTTTTTATGGGTAAAGGAGGAGGGGACTGGCTGGAGTAGGAAGGGAGAAGCAGAAAAAGGGAGATTTGCGGTTTGGGAAGAGGTTCTCGGCTTGGCTCCATCCGAGCGGTACTTCTATTAACACTCTGAAAAATATGTTTTGGAATGAAGCATCTGACTTCCTTTTGCTCGTTCCTTTATATCTTTGCTACTCAAAACGGGTTCACGGGCCAGCGAAATTGACATGATTTGGCCCCTTATTAGAAACGCAAAGGGCTCCACCCATACTTTCTGAGTTAGAATATGAATTGCAATAAGATCCACGATCACTCCCGTGATTCCTATATACATTAAAGTTTGAGAAGGTATATTTCTTGGCTAAGAGTATTCCAATGGTCCTTGACACACTCTTATTTTTTATTTTGGCTGGGCGAGGGGGTACCAGGGATTGAACTCAGGGGCACTCGACCACTGAACCACATCCCCAGCCCTATTTTGTATTTTATTAGAGACATGGTCTCACTGAATTGCTTAGCGCTGGCTTTGAACTCGCGATTCTCCTGCCTCCCCGACCCTAGCGGCTGAGGTTACAGGAGTAAGACACTGCGCCGGGCCCCTTGATACACGCTTAATGCTATCGAACATTCTGTGTCAATTTTAAGTGTGCGCTTATTACTATATGCCAAATACCGTGCTGAAGGAGACTTTAGAGTCCTGCGATCCCTCTCGAGAAACCAGACAGAAATTTAAAAAGCAATGCTACATAACATAAAACGTAAAATCAATATCAGTAAGTGTCAAAAATAGTGCTGTGGTTTTCAAGATGAACTAATCGAACTGGTAATAGAAACTAAATCGTCTGAAGACCATTAATGAGGGATAAGAGGCCTCCATAAAAATAAGAACATGGTAATGAAATGTAACTGTGATTTCCGTTGCTGCCACAACCTTGGACATGCTCCATGACCAAAGAACTTTTCATATCACCTGATGGAATTTTAACAGGAGCAGCATTGCCTGCCAACAGCTAGAGAAGATTGTAAAGGTGTATATAAAGTCTTATAGGGCTGGGGTTGTGGCTCAGCAGTAGAGAGCTTGCCTAGCATACGCAAGGTGCTGGGCTCAATCTTCATCACCACATACAAATAAATAAATTAAATAAAGGTATCCTGTCCAACTACAACTAAAAAAAATTTAAAAATAATAATACAGTGCTATAAAAGCACAAAAGCGATAACATTTCAACCACTATAAATTTATAAGAACAGAAACTATTTTGGTCTTACACATGATTGTATGACAGCACCTAGCAGAATATCTGATGGATTTTGTTTTAATTTTTAATTGTTTGGTAATGGAGATTTAATTTAGGTGTGCTTTACCATTGAGTCACATCCTCAGTCCTTTTTATTTAATTTTTTTTAGAAACAGGTTCTCACTAAGTTGCTTAGGGCTTTGCAAAGTTGCTGAGGCTGGGTTTGAACTGGTAATCTTCCTGCCTCAACCTCCTGAGTTGCTAAGATTATAGGTGTGTGCCACCGTGCCTGGCTACCTGATGAATTTTCAACACTCAACTAATGTCTATAAGATAAAAGTAACAAAAGTTTTGAAAATTAGGTTTACGATGACTTAGAAAAGGATACCCCAAACAAGGGGAAAGACTGGTTACATTATAGACAGTATTTGGTATTTAATAAACCTAAGTACAAACTAGTTGTCACTAGAAGAAATGAGGCTGCAGAGCACTAAGTTGTGAACAGCTTTGAAAGATGTGCTAAGGAATTTATATATATAATGTTGGCACAAAAGGACCGAGCCAGTCACAAACTTCACAGATCAGCAAAAGCCTTTATTCGGTAATGGAGTCACACCTCTAATGGGCCTACTTTCCTGGTGGAAAATGAGCCACTGGCCAAAGAGGGAGTCCATACTTACATAGGTCACACTGAGAATTGACTTAACTCAGGAATTTAGGGTCTGTTTTACTGGGCGAGATGGCGGGGGCAGTTCTGGGGGCAGTGGTCAATATTCTGGATTTGTCTTTACTGGGCCAGATGGAGGGTCTGGGGTCAGTGGTCAGCATCTGGAAATGGATTTGTTTGGGGAAGGATCAATGTTTTTGACCTCTTCCCACAGACTGTCCTTCCAGATTTGATAGATATCTCCTCCCCAAGGCCTGTCTTGTTACTGGGAAAGAATGTATTGGGAAAGGATCAATGTATTGCCTTCTTTTTCACTCCCTCTCCCCAGGCCACACTATTTGGGGTTTGTCATTTTCTATATCCATCATATATAATTTATATATAATATATTAATATATATATGACATTATATGTGTGTGTGTGTGTGTGTATATATATATGTATACACACACACACATTATGTGTGTATGTTACTAAGGATCAAACCTATGACCTTCCACATGCTAAGCAAGCACCCTACTACTGAGTAATACCCCCAGTCCCTAGAATTGTTAAAGAAAGAAAACTTACAGTTATACTTGTTATAAAACACACTGAGGAAGACTTTTTTCAGGACCATTGCAATAGGTATAGGGACCACTGCAGTGGGATTCCCCCCACTGGGTGGGATTTTGAGTGAGGAGAGAGAGATTGGGCTCAACTCCAAATATAATATAGGCAAATATAATTTATGGGCAAAGAACAAAGTCAATGGATGGAAAATTACTAAGAGGTAAGGGGGATTCTGCCTAAACAGATTAAGTAAGATTCATGCTAGACAGACCAGGGTGATCAGAGAAACCTAAGTAATGGAGGAAGATGAGGAACCTTATAATGTTTTGTTGTTTTGGGGGGGTGAGGGTGGTAGTTCTTGCTAAACTGATTTGGCAGAGTTTTTTGCTAAAAGCTAAAACCAAATTTTGTAAGTACAAAGACGGGTTTAGAAGAAGCTTCAGGAGCCTGATCAAGCACAGAATCTTTGTCAAAATCAATCCACCAAGTATAGCTAGAAAGTCCAGTTCCTTTCTAAAGTCTGTTTTCAGGACTGGGATGTAGCATGGGCAAGACTCTGAGTTTGATTCCCCAGCACCACCACCAGGGGAAGAAAAATTTTAAGTCTATTTTCATAATTTAAGTATTGGTAATATAGGAAAAAAGGACAAGAGGCTGGTTCTATCCTTTTTGATCCCTAACAAAACATAAAGGTAAAGCAATGGGGAAGGGCTATGGAGAGGCAGATAGAATCCAAGGAAATGAAAGGTGCCATGGAAATCTCAGATTCTGGGGATCCCAACAGTGGACTGTGATAGTTTCCCATGAAATTTCTCCATAAATGGCACTGCACATGGATTTGATGAGATTTAACCGTTTTTTCTCCCCCAAACACAAAATTACTACTTTCTGGGAGGATCTCCTAAGTATCTTCTTCATTCAAAATATCTTTGTATACCTGGGATATGGTTCAGTGGTAGACCTCTTGCCTAGCATGCTCAAAGCTGTGGATTCAATCCCCAGCCCAGATCTGTGCTTTATTTTGAATTTAAAAAAGACATCCCTTTTATTTATTAATCGCTGCTAAGTCTTCTTTTATTATTTCAACAGGGAAAAAAAGTGATATAATAGGGCTGGGAATATAGCTTAGTTGGTAGAGTGCTTGATTCGCATGCACAAGGTCCTGGGTTCAATCCCCAGCAACACAAAAATAAAAAATAAAAAGGTGAAGTCACCAGTCATGGTGACACATGCCAGTAATCCCAGCAACTTGGGAGCCTGAGGCAGCAGGATCTGAAATTCAAGACCAACCTCAAAAACTTAAGGAGACCCTGTCTCAAAATAAAAATTTTTTCAAAGGGCTGGAGAGCTGGGCACAGTGGCCCACACCTATAATCCCAGCAGCTCAGGAGGCAAAGCCAGCCTCAGCAATAGCAACTCAGTGAGACCCTGTCTCTAAATAAAATACAAAATAGGGCTGGGGATGTGACTCAGTGGTTGAGTGCCCCTGAGTTCAATCCCCAGTACCCACCTCCATCACAAAAAAAAAAGAATGAAAAGGGCTAGAGATGTAGCTCTCAGTGGTAGAGCACCCCACGTTCAAGCCTACTACTGCAAAAATATGTGAATAAATAAATAAGAAGCCAGCCAACTATGTTTTGGTGTTTTGTTTTGTTTTGTTTTTCCCCTCAAGCCTCTAAGAACAATTAAGAAAAGCATTCTGTTAATTTGGAGCCTGACAATTAATCCAGCCACTTCTAGAGAGCTGTTGATACATCACTCTTTGTCATTAGGGATAGCCTCTGTAAGTCCAAAGCTGTTGCAACCAAAGCACATCTTGGTTTTTATAATCCACAGCAGGGTGGGAGGAGGTTCTTTAGCCAGTGGAATCTGAGAGCTGAGCAAGTGTAGAGCTGCATACCAAGTGCTGAAAGGTTACTGAGTGAACAGAAGTGGAATGAATGTGTATTTTAAAGGCTTATTGTTCCTATTCAAATGTAAGTTTGAAGGGAAAGAGGCCCAGGCCTTCAGACAGTTTTCCTTTCTGCTACTTGAATAAAACATCTTTGTTCCTCAGGTAACAACAACTAAAACCAGCAAAGGCCCTCTGGAGCCTCAGATCAAACTTGCTCAGACTTAATTCTTAAGTAAAGAATATGGATTAAAATATAAGTGTGCTAGGTGATATTTTAAATGCTTCAGAATAAATTGTTTTTAAACACTTTTAGATTTGGGATAATTGTTATTTCATTATAAGCTACTATTATACCATAGGCTGCTAGAAAAAACATGGTCTTTGAAGACTTACAGATCCAGACTTTATACTTTATTCAATTAACCTTGGGCATATCATCTAATCTTTCCAATCATCAGTTTATTCCTGTATAAAATGGGAATAAAAATCCTCTTTGTCAGGGATACTTTGCAGGATAGTGAAGATTGACTGAGAATATGTATGTGAGGGTGCTAAAAAATAAAGGGACATTCAGTTAACAGTGTTTTCTCCTCACACAACCAACTCTGCCTATGATCATAGTGGATGTGCAGTAAACGTTGCTGATAAAGAAACTTATATTCTTTCAATGTTTAACCTCAATTCAATTATAGCCATTTTCTCTGTTATAAAGAAAAGGTACACAAAGCAACATAAGTAAAATAAATGTAGAAAACAATATAATGCCAAAGTCAAAGTCTCTCCAGATGCAGCCTTTCTTTTTTCCTTTTTTATCCCCCCAGTGCTGGGGATTGAATTCAGAGGCTCACACATGGTGGGCAAGTACTTTTCTACCAGGCTACATCCCCAGCAATTTTTATTTTATTTTGAGACACAGTCTTGCTAAATTCCCCATGCTGGCCTCAAACTTGAAATCTTTCTGTCTCAGCCTCCAGCAGAGATGGAATTACAGGTTTGTACCACCAGTCCCAGCTATGATTTATTAACCAAGAGGTAGGAAAAAAAAGAAAGAAAATAATCTGTAGCTACTACAGTTACACTAATTAAAGTTCTTTCGTGCTTTTCACCTTTACCTTTTCTGTTTGGTTTTAGGGACAAGTGACCAGACCTGGGTTATTGGATCAAGTCAGGCCTCGAGCCGAGGATCCTGATAACAGATTCAAGAGTGTGTAAGGTTTGCTGTAATGGTAATTCATTGAAGTACATACTTAAGGTTGGTGTGCTTTCTATATGTATGTGTTATTCTTCAATAAAAAATGTTTTTAAAAATTTCTCTGCAGAAATTATGCCCAAGTTCAAACAACGAAGAAGAAAGCTAAAAGCCAAAGCCAAAAGATTATTTAAGAAAAAAGAAGCCTCTCACTCCCAGTCCAAGCTACCTACACCTCCCCCTCCACTACCCTCACCAGAAAGGTAAGACATAATGTGGAACAGAAAAAATATTAAGAGACATCTGATCAGTTTAAGGTACAGGTACCAGATTTAACAAACAAAAATATAGAATATGAAGTCATTTGTATTTCAGCTGAACAGTGAATAATTTTTGGCAAAAGTGTGTCCCATGTAACATTTAGAATTTACTTTTATTAAATTATTCATGCTTCATCTGAAATTAAATTAAATTTTAACTGGACATCTGAATTTTGCATGACAACCACAGTTCTCACTTTCAAGTGAAATGAGAATCAGAAGAAATTGTGTCCAAATGCACGGTAACTATATTCTCTTTTCCAAGTGAACTAAGTGATGAAAGGGGGCCATAGGACAAGAATCTATATCTTAGTTTTGCTAAAGTTTGATCATTTGTTTTCTGGAACTCATGTCCTCTTAAAAAAAAAATAATATGAGTTTTAGGAATTGTAGGGTACTGTTTTTCACAGTAACTTATACATTATAAGTTATACTCTTTCTTGTTGTGACTCTCTTTTATTTTATTTTTGGTACTGCTGGGAATTGATCCCAGGGCCTTGCATATGCACACATTCTACCACTGAGGTTACACTGCCAGTCCTATACCTTTCTTTATAGAAGATTTTTGAAAGCAGACCTTCATAAAGTAATAACTGCAGTGATACCATGTTTGACTCTTTTCCATCTCTCCTGAATATTGTAAATCTCCTAACTGATTTCTCTATTTTTGCTCTTGTCCCTTCTGCAATGCATGTTCAATGCAGAGGCTGGCTTGGGCCTGTTAAAATCATGCATGTCATATTGCTTCTCTGTTTTAAAGTCTCCAATGAAAGTAAAAGCTTTCTCCAGTCAGTTTATTTTTTCATATGTATATGTGCTTAGGGAATTCTTTTTCACTTGTTATATAAAATATTCAACTTTTTTTGTTGTTTTTGGTCCCAGGGAATGAACTCAGGTGCTCTCAACCACTGAGCCACATCTCAGCCCTATTTCATATTTATTTATAGACAGAATCTCACTGAGTTGCTTAGTGCCTCACCATTGCTGAGGATGGCTTTGATCTCACGATCCTCCTGCCTCTGCCTCTAGAGCTGCTGGGATTACAGGTGTGGGCCACTGCACCCTGCTTCAGATTTATAATTTTTTAAATGCATATAACTAAGCTGATTAAGTATTACTGTCAACAGAGTCAAATGTATCTTTTTGCATTTTGAATCTGAAAAATTTTTATTTTGTAACAAAAATTTTATCTGTATTGCTAACTTGAACTTGTTTATTCCATTAAAATTTTACTAAAATAGCTGGGTGCAGTGGCGCATGCCTGTAATCCCAGAAACTCGGCAGCTGAGTCAAGAGGATCCTAAGTTCAAGTCCAGCCTCAGAAATTTAGTGTGACCCTAAACAACTTAGCAAGACCCCTGGAGTCAATCCCCAGTACCCCCCCCCCCAAAAAAAAAAAGAAGGAAAAATACTAAAATATACCTTGGGTTTTGGAATTATGTTTTAGATACAACACTAAAAGCATAAAACATGAAAGAAAACTCTCCAATGTCTTACTTTCTCAGAGTAAAAATTAAAATCTGTTATATGACTCACAATGCTTATGTGATCTGACTCTGACCTTATTTCCCAATCCCTTCCCTCTCAGTCTATCTACCCTGGTCATTCTGGCCTCCTTGCTATTCCTTGAACACTTCAGGTGAGCTTCTACTTCAGGGCCTTTGCACTTACTTTTGACTTTCTCTAGATTGCTCTTCTCTCAAATATTTGATTGCTAGCTTCCTGACTTCATTTTTTCCCCCAAGTCTCCTTCTCACTAAGATTATCACTGACTTTTCTACCTCAAACCCCACCCATCATTTCACATTTTCCCCTTTTGCTTTATTTTGTCTCCTTATATATATTTATTATTTATTTGTTTAGTTGCTTATTTATTTTTACCTTTCTTCTCCCATGACACATAAACTCCATGACAGCATAGGGATTTTGTTTATTTGTTTGTGGGGTTTTAATATTTATTTTTTAGGTGTAGTTGGACACAATACCTTTATTTAATTTAATTTATTTTTATGTGGTGCTGAGGATCAAACCCAAGGCCTCATACATGATAGGCGAGCGCTCTACTGCTGAGCTACAACCCCAGCCCGGAATTTTTAATCTATACTGTCCATTACTGAATCTCCAGTGACTATAATATAGTAAATATTTAATAAAAATGTAGTAAATGAGTGAATCCCTAAATTCTAGAATTTACTGAAAAGTTTGGCTGTAGAAAGTCCCTCCTCCTGAGTCACATTATAAAACCTGCTTCTTAAGGCTGGGTATGTAGCTCAGTGGTAGATTGCATACTTATTAGTCAGGAATCCCTGGGTTCAATTCCCAGTGCTAAAAAATATATATATATATATATATATATATATATATATATATATATATATATATGATAAAAAATAAATAAAACCAGTTTCTTGTTTAATTAGAGGCTATTATTCCAACTTAACTTTTATTTTTATTTGTTTGTTTGATTTTGTTTTTCTTGCAGAGTGATTATTTCTTCAACAGATGTACCCATTCCCCATAGTAGAAACTGGCTAAGACCATTTTGGAACTTCAAACTTCCCAACATCAAAGATGCAATAAAGCTTTGGAAAAATAGTGTGTGGTCTATATACAGCTGGTGCCAGAACTGTGTAGCCCAGGTATGGGTTTGACATACCTGTTTTCAACACATTTGGTGTTTGTATTCATATGGGTATGTGCTTAGGTCAGCTCAACACTCAGATGAAGCTCAAATAAGATGAGTTTATGGGGATCATGATTGCCTTTGCTTCTGTATGACATATATTAAACAACTTTCTGTTTCCTTTTTTCCCCTCTTTATTATATTGCTCATAAGATTCAGGATTCTTTACTTATGAATTTCAGGGTTTAGAAGTATTGAAAGATACCATCTTTCCATCCCGAATCTGCCACCGAGAACTTTACAGTCTAAAACAACAATTTTGCATTTTGCAGAATGAATTATGCAAGCTCCAAGAAACATTGAAGGTTGGTATTATCAAATAAAAGACAAATTCGGAATTAGGTAAGGAGGGATTTTATGTCTTTATGATTTTAGTCTTTATGAACAGACTATTCTAATATGAAAAATGTTCTGACTATGAGATCTATGATTATCTCAAATATCAGGCACAAAATGCCTAATGGGGTACTATTACTAAGGAAGAAGACAAAAATGTATATTGGGAGGCATTTTGCAGTCTCTGCCACACACACAAAACATAAATGCAAACTAAACTTCAGTGCGTAACATTTTTACCCTATCAAATGTGCAAAACAAACACAAAAAACAAAACGGTAGGGGGTGTGTTGATGCACACCTGTACTCCCAGCTACTCAGGAAGCTGAGGCAGAAGGATCACAAGTTTGAGGCCAGCCTCAGCAACTTAGTGACCCCAAAGCAATTAAGAAAAACCCTGTCTCAAAATATAAAATTAAAAGATGGACTGGGGATGTTGCTCAGTAGCAGAGTGCTTCTGAGTTCAATTCCCATTATTGTGTGGAAGAAAAAAGAATATGGCATTATAATTGGGAATGTAGCTTAATGGCAGAGCACTTTTCTAGCATGTATGACCCCCAAGTTCAATCCCAAGTGTCCCCCTCCCCATATACACAAAGAATACAACATTAAAATAAATGTAGAAGTATATGCAAAACAGTGTTTATAGGATGCTTCCATGAATGATTAAAATATATATACTTTTTTGGTGGGGCATGGTAGCAAATACCTACAGTCCCAGCTGCTAGGGAGGCCCGGGCAGCTTGAGCTTAAAAGTTCAAGGGCAGCCTGGGCAACATAGTGTGACCACCATCTCAAAAAATAAATAAGGAAAAAAGTTAAAATTAATCAAAATGTCCTTATAAAATATATGTCTAATTATACATGGAAGTATATATATATGAATTATATACATACTTATATATCTATACATGTATGTAAAGACTGTTTTGAGCTGGGATATAACTCAATTGTAGAGTGCTAGCCTAGCATGTGTTAGGCCCTGCTTTTGACCTAGTAGAAAACAAATTATATACTCAAATTAAGAGAATCTGAAGTTTAAGATAAGGTATGAGCAGGACGTAGAAAAACAAAGGATCAGGTAGTATTGTGAGGCTTGCAAGAGCGGAGTTTCCTTCCCACTCTGGAAGGATTGGGAGGAATAACAGTTTATCAGAACTTGGAGACCCTAAAGGGCTCTTTGGCAGGAGTAGAAGCTTCCCTTGAAACACCCAAGCAGCCTAAAGAAAGCCCCTGTAGAACCTGTCTCCCTTACTCTGATTTTTAGCTACAAAGCTCCATGGTCAGGGATCACTGAGATGGTCTATATTGTAAAGTCTCTCAGGTCCCAGAAAAAGTGAAGGAGCAAACAGAGAATTATTCCACCCCATTATACAAGAAATGGGTGCTAAGTGCAGTTGCACACATCTATAATCCCAAAAGCTCAGGAGGCTGAGGCAGGATGATCATGAATTGAAAGCCAGCCTCAGCAAAAAAGCGAGGTGCTAAGCAACTCAGTGAGACCCTGTCTCTAAATAAAATATAAAATAGGGCTGGGGGTGTGGCTCAGTATTTGAGTGCCCCTGAGTTCAATCCTCCGAACCCAAAAGAAAAAAAAAAAAAAAAAAGAAATTGGTAGTGGTGTTTGTTTTTGTAGAGGGACAATTTGGTAGCTGAGTCAAAGATAGGAAAGGCCTTTCTTTTTCACTGTATACTCTTGCATCTTCTGAGTTTTGTGCTCTGTGTATGTAACCCCTATTTAACAACAAACGTAGAAAAGAATTTCTAAAACATAAAATAAAATTAATTGACCAATTGAGCTTTTGGTTCTAGAAGTAACTTTGTTGTTTTGAATTCCTCTGATTTTATAACTTCCTGATTTTATATCAGAGCAGTTTGCTGCTGGTGACTAGGATGTGAAGTGGTTCAGAACTTTTAATTTTTTTTTTTTTCCACTGTGGTGCTAGGACCTAAACCAGGGTCTTGTGCATGCTAAGCAAGCTCTCTATCACTAAGCTACACCCCAAATCTCTCTTATAAATACTCAAGAGTGGTTTTGAATTTCCTGACTGATGCATGCAGAAAAAAATAAACTATAAATATCCATTCCAAATCCCCCTAAGTGACACCTCTGTTCTCAGTGATTCAACATTGTGCTCGTTGATCTGGAAAGAAGCTTCTGGGATTCCACCTCTGCTCCCCAGAATTTACACCTCAAGGTGAACTAGCCAAAGGAGGGAAAGGCAAAGTTTCCTCATCTGTAACATTGGAATCATACAATTTGTAGGGAGCTAAGTGGATGATGACCTCCAAAAAGATAATGTTCAGGTCCTAATTCCCAGAACCTATAAATATTACCTTATTTGGGAAAAAGGATTTTAAGATGAGACATTCCTGAATTATCTGGGTGGACCCTAAATCTAATGATAACTGTCCTTGAAAGAGAGATACACAAGAGAATTCACACAGAGACAAGCAGGTGACCATAGAAACAAGAGATTGGAGTATTGCTGTGACAAGCCAAAGAATATTGACAGCTGCCTTTAACTGGAAAAGGCAAGGAAGGGGTTCTTTAGAGCCTTGAGAGGGAGCACAGCTCAGTTGACCCTTTTGATTTCAGACTTCCAGCCTGCAGCATTGTGAGAAAATAGAGTTTGATTGTTTTAAGCCACCAAGTTTGTGGTAATTTATAGTAGCCACAAAAAATTAATATATCACCTTACTTAATAGGGTCATTGTTATTTGTTATTTGCTAGGGTTGGCATAGTAAGATACCACAGATCGTTTATACAACAGAAATTTGTTTTCTCACAGTTCTGGAAGCAAGAAGTATGAGATCAAGGGGTCAGCAAGGTTTTCTTCTGAAGAACCTCTGTTGTCTTACAGATGACTGCCTTTCACTGTGTTCTCACATGATCTTTCCTGTCTGAGTACATTTCAGGTGTCATTTCCTTTTGTCCTAGGAATAACTGTTACATAGGATTAAGATTCACCCTAAATGTCTCATTTTTAATTTCACTACCTCTTTTTTTTTAATTTTTTATTTGTCCTTTTTAGTTACACACGATGGTAGAGTGTATTTTGACATATCGTACATACACGGAACATAACTTCCCATTTTTACAGCTGTACATGAGGTGGAGTTACAGTGGTTTGTGTGTCCATATATGAACATAAGAAAGTTATGATTGTTCAATATCTTTCCCATTCCTACCACCATCTCTTTGAAAGCCATATCTCCAAATAAATCACATTTTATAGTACTAGATTTTAAGACCTCCACATGAATTTTGGTCCATAATTCAACCCAAAACAGTCATATTCCAGCCTTTTATCACCCTTTTTTTTTTTGCAGGGGGGGGGGGGACGAGTACTGGGGATTGAACTCGGGGCACTCAACCACTGAGCTACATCCCCAGCCATTTTTCTTTTTTTTAAATATTTGTTTTTTAGTTGTAGTTGGACACAATACCTTTATTTTATTTATTTTTTATGTGGTGCTGAGGGTCGAACCCAGGGCCTTGCACGTGGTGGGCAAACGCTCTATCTCTAAGCTACAGCCCCAGCCCTTCCCCAGTCCTTTTTTGTGTTTTATTTTAAAGACAGGGTATCACTGAGTTGCTTAGGGTATCATGGTTGCTGAGGCTGGCTTTGCACTCGCGATCCACCTGCCTCAGCCTCCTGAGCCTCTGGGATACAGGCGTGTGCCACCATGCTCAGCGCCTTTTACCCTATTTACCAGTACTTTGAATGTACTATATTCTTCTGATTAAGTATTTTCCTCTCTGGGATGAACTCCCCCCATCATCTCCCTCCATCTGGAAAGTCTTAATTCATTCTTTGGTGACTAATTATCATTCCCCAAGACTAGCTGTTCAATCTCAGAGCACACTTCATTGTTCTTCCTTTAAGTGTTATTTTGTATGGTTTCAAGTGTGTCTGTGAACGTTTAATGTCTGTCTGCGAGGTCACAGACAGGGCTCCCACCATACTCAGTGCCTAGCAAATATCACATACAAAATGAATGAAGAAGTGAAATGAAGAAAGTTATGACAATTGAGAAAATATTATAAACTGCATGGTACATTGAGAAAGCATTCGTTATTTATTAGCTATTATTTTAATGACTTTCTGCCACAAGAATCAAATTAATGTATTATTCATTTGCAAAATGTAACGTCTTCTTCCAGATTGTCTCAGAAAATTCTTGTCCAAGCTGTGGTCAAACATGTTACAGGAGTGGTAAACTTACAAAGGAGCCTGCCAGTGATGTAATCACCTTGGAGGAATCCCCAGCTGTACCTCCTTCCACACTACCACAGCTGGCCAGCCATCCTCCTCCACCTCCACCTCTACCTCCTCCTCCTCCACCTCCTCCTCTGCCTCCTCCACCACCCCCACTAGCACCTTTGCTGCTCAGAAAATCTGGCCTCACTCAAGCACTTCAGGTAGGAAGTAATCTAGTCATGGTGAGTTTTGGTCAGCATGTAATATAGGAGTAAAGCCTCCATGGCCTTTTAAGGCTGAGCTAAATGCTTAAACCGAAGGTTATAGTTGTTCTGACTCCATATCTTCACTATGTTAAATAGTTTATTTGTTTTGGAGACTGGGTCTTACTGTGTTGACCAAACTGGTCTTGAACTTATGGACTCAAGCAATTTTGCCTCAAACCTTTTGAGTAGCTGGGACTACCCACCATCATGCCAGCTAATGAATTTTTTTTCCAATATTTTTTTTTTAGTTGTAGATGGACTCAATACTTTTATGTTATTTATTTATTTTTATGTGGTGCTGAGGATCAAACCCAGTGCCTCACAGGTGCTAGGCCAGCACTGAGTCACAACCCCAGCCTCAGCCTCAGCCTTTTTTAAAATTATTTTATTTTGAGACAATTTCTCACCAAGTTGCCAAGAGTGATCTCAAACTTGTGATCCTGCTGTCTCAGCCTCCAGAAAAGCTGGGATTATAGGTGTATACCACCACATCTGGCTAATGCCTTACACTTCTATGAATATTTTTCAAATTAGCATCCTTAAGTACTGAAAATAGGATCATTCTTGCTTACGTGGAAAGAATTTGATAGGTTCCTAGGGTAAATGAGAGGTAACTTTTAATTGTTTTATTTTTTCTTTTTGATACTGAGCTACATCCTCAGCCCTTTTGATTTATTTATTTATTTTATTTTGAGACAGGGTCTCCCTAAGTTGTTTAGGGCCCTGCTAAGTTGCTGGGGTTTGCCTCAAATTGCAGTCCTTCTGCCTTAGCCTTTGGAGTCTCCGGAAGTAAAAACGTGTACCACAGTGCTGGGCTTAACTCTGAATCTTTGAAATCTGGATTTGAATTTACATTTCACTAGATATTCTGATTCTAATTTAAATTCTATCTTCATGTATTTAAAGACTGGACCATTAAAAAAAGATGGACCTTTGCAGATAACAGTTAAAGATCTTCTGACTGTGAAATTAAAGAAGACACAGAATATTGATGAAAGGAAGAAGGTAAAGTAGCGTTGACCATATACATGGTCTTTCTCCTTTCAACCTGGTTGTCCCTGTATGGAAAATAATCATGTGCCCTATCTGTAGAAGTTATTCCAAATTAAATATGTGCTGTTTTAGTAGATTTGAATCCTAAACAAAATGTATAGATCTCAAATTTATTTAATTAGACAGTTTTATCACCAACCATTAATCCGAAGAGGTAAAGACATACTTTGAAGCTTTGGAATAAAAATTGAGTAGAGAAGTGGGTATGTCTTGGCACTTAGATAAATGGTGTTTAAGCATGTTTACATTTTGAATTACATTTGAAAATATGTATTTAATAATGTCTCATTTTATGATTAAAGCTTGTACCATCACCAAAGACACGGAATCCACTGGTTACTGTCTCTGACTTGCAGCGTGTTACCCTGAAACCGAACTCCAAAGCATTATCAACTCGAGTTACAAATGTTCTAATGTAAGGAACTACATACACAGCATCATACTCTATGGCTACTTAAAAGTGATTTTTTTTTTTTTTTTTTTTTGGTGGGGGAGGCAGGTACTGGGGATTAAACCTAGGGGACACTTTACCACGGAGCCACATCTTCAACCCTTCTTTTTTATTCTGAGACAGGGTCTTGCTAAGTTGCTTAGGGCCTCAGTAAATGGCTAAGGCTGGTCTTGAATTCGCAATCCTCCTGCCCCAGCTTCCTGAGTCACTGGATTACAGGCATGTGCCACCACTCTTGGCTTAAAAGTGATTTTTTAAAAATATTTTTTAGTTGTTGATGGACCTTTTATTTATTTATTTATTTGTTTATATGTGATGCTGATAATTGAACCCAGTGCCTCACATATGCTAGGCAAGCACTGTACCACAGGAAAAACCTCACTTTGAGTCTTTCAACTCCTGTCTTATTAATGATCCTATCATTGGAGATAGTTGCTGTTAACATGCTAATATACTGTTTTATCATTCTAGCCCCCGCTTTTTTTGTCTTTATTTATTTATTTTTAATTTTTTTTTGTAGTTGTAGTTGAACACAATAACTGTTTATTTATATGTGGTGCTGAGGATCAAATCCAGGATCTTGCATGTGCGAGGCAAGCGCTCTACCGCTGAGCCATAACCCCAGCCCCATAAATTTTATTTATTTTATTCATTTTAGTTGCTGACAAACTTTTATTTTTTATTTATATATGGTGCTGAGAATCAAACCTAGTGCCTCACACATTCAAGACAAGTGCTCTACCACTGAGCCACAACCCAAGTCCCTTTTTTTTTTTTTTGTCTTTTTTTCTGGATATACACTACTCTATTGCCTCCATTTCAAGATACCATTACAAGATATATCATTAATTTAATGACAGATTTGGGGAGTTGGGGAAGTAGCTAGTTGTAAAGCACTTGTATAGTATGTGTGAAGTTCTAGGTTCCATCCCCAGAAAAACTATCAAGAAATTTTAAAACAAACTGATTTCAGAAATAATAAAATATAAAAATTAGCATATCTAGAATCAAGAAAACAGGAGACCCACACCTGTAATCCTAGTAACTCAGGAGTCTGAGACAGAATTGCAAATTTGAGACCAGCACCAACAATTTAGGGAGGCCCTATTCAATTACAGGAGGCCCCTGTCTCAGAATTTTTTTAAAAAAGGGGAGGGGATTGAGGGGAGGCTGGAGGTTTGATTCAGTGGTTAAGTGCCCCCGTACCCCGCCCCCCAAAAAAGGGATGTGTATGTGTACTGAATATAATCATATTATAGATATAGTTACAGCTTTTCCCATTTAAGATGTTATATTATTAAAAAGTAGCTTAAGGTCTAGGGATATAGCTCAGTGATAGAGTACTTGCCTTGCATGTGCAAGGCCCTGGGTTCAATCCCCAGTACCACAAAAAAAAAAAAAATCAAATAATAATAAAAATAATATTAAAATATCATTTTGACTTCTTCAAACTATGTAGTTCATTATATGTAAATTTCATACATAAAACTTTGTTTAAAGACATTTAGGTTGTTTGTGAGGTTATTTTTTTAAAATATTTTTGGTTGTTAATGGACCTTTATTTTTATTTATTAATTTATATGTGGTGCTGAGAATAGAACCCAGTGCCTCACACATGCTAGGCAAGCACTCTACCACTGAGCCACAACCTCAGCCCTGTGAGGTTATTTTGTTTTGTTTTGTTTTGGTTTGGTTTTGGTTTTGGCCAGTACTGGGGATTGAACCCAGGGCCTCATGCATGTAAGGCAAGCACTTTATTATTTAGCTACTTCCCTACTCCTTTTTACTTTTTTCCCCTTTGAGATAGGATCTTGCTAAATTGCCTAGGCTGGTCTTGAACTTGTAATCTTTCTGCCTCAACCTCCCAAGTATCAGGTATTATAAGTGTGCATCACCACTTCTGACTATGCTTTCTAATTTCTCTAATTCTTCAGTGAACATTTTTGTCCATAACTTGTATGCATAGTTGAATTTTTCCCTAGGATGGATTCTTACAGATGTAGTTACTGGGTCAAGAAGTATTACTGGGAAGTGGGGCTATAGTTCAGTGATAGAGCTCTTGAATAGTATGTATGAGGATCTGGGTTCAAATCTCAGTACTTGCCACCCGCCCCCTATCCTCACCCCCAAAAAAGTGTTACTTATTAAAATGGCTACATGTTATCACCTTACACTGTCATTAGCATATACTGCTGTTTTGTTTTGTTTTATGATACTTGGGATTGAATCCAGGACCTTGCTGCTCTTTACATTATCCAGTATGTCCTTGAACTTCCTGTTTTAGCTTCCCAAGTGGCTGGGATTACAGGCGTGTGACTCTACTGCTGTTTTTTGTTGTTTTTTCGTAATGAGAACTGAATCAAGGGGTGTTTAACCACTCAGACACATTCCCAATCATTTTTCTTTTTTGTTTTGAGACAGAGTCTCACTAAGTTGCTGAGGCTGACCTCAAATTTGGTGATCCTCCAGCCTCAATTTCCTGAGCGGTTGGGTTTACAGGAGCATGCCACTATGTCCAGCTGTATTGCTGTTTTTTAATGTAGTAAATAGAACTCCTTTCTAGGTTGCCTATAAAAATTTCTTCTTTGCTTTAGGAAAAGTGATAAAATCTGTCAAGTTCTAACGTTTTATATCTTTATTTTATCAGTACTCCTGGTAAAAGCCAGATAGATCTGCGGAAACTGCTTAGAAAAGTTGATGTAGAGAGGTAATGCATTCTTTATGCTTTCTAAATCCATTTGAAAAATGTATATAAAGCACAGCTCCTAATATTTTCAATACCTTTGTAGAAGCCCAGGTGGAACTCCTCTAACCAATAAAGAAAATATGGAAACAGGAACTGGACTGACCCCAGTGATGACCCGTGCATTGAGGAGAAAGTTTCAGGTAAGCCTTTAAGGAAAAAAATAACAAACACCTGGGGATATACTATGCTCAGTGGTAGACTGCTTCCCTAGCATGCATGAGGCCCTGGGTTCAATCCCCAGCACTAATAATCATAATCATAATTATAATTCATTTATAATCACAATATATAAGTACCCTTTTTATTTTTTTATTTTTTTTTAATATTTATTTTTTAGTTGCAGTTGGACACAGTATTTTCATTTATTTATTTATTTATTTATTTATTTATTTTTAATTTTTTAAAATATTTATTTATTTATTTTAGTTTTTGGCGGACACAACATCTTTGTTTGTATGTGGTGCTGAGGATCGAACCCGGGCCGCAGGCACACCAGGCGAGCGCGCTACCGCTTGAGCCACATCCCCAGCCCCCATTTATTTATTTTTATGTGGTGCTGCTGATCGAACCCAGGCCTCACACATGCTAAGTGAGCGCTATACCGCTGAGCCCAACAATTTTTTAACATATATATATTTTTAGTTGTTGATGGACCTCTTTTTTTTAATTTAAAAAAAATTTTTTAAGGTGTTGATGGACCTTTATTTTAACTTATTTATTTATATGAGGGGCTGAGAATTGAACCCAGTGCCTCACACATGCTAGGCAAGTGCTCTACCACTGAGCCATATCCCCAGTCCCTAAAGAACCATTTTTACATTTCTTTTTCTTTTCTTTCTTTCTTTTTCTTTTTTGCAATACTAGGGATATAACCCAGGACCTTGAGCATGCTAGGCAAGTGCTATACCACTAAGGTATATCCCCAACCCTAAAGTAATGATAATTGTTGTGGTATCTTATGCTTTGCTAAGCATTTTAAAATTTAAGCTGCATAAAATTCTTTGAGGATGAAAAGAAAAAAGATTCTGGGAGATGTAGCCAGGTTTATCTTCTACTCTGTCAATGAATGCCTGGTTATACCAGCTCTTTACTAAGTATCAGGTACTTTCTATAAGCCAAGCACTGTACTGGAGTACTGGGGCGATAGGATAAGCAAAAGCAGACACAGACTCGCTGTCTTGGAGTTTTCAGGCTAGTGAGAAAAAAATAGACATTAATCAAATAATTCCATATTTATATAATTGTGTACAACAGTAAATGTCATGAAAGAAAGGATCTTTGTTCCGTGGGAACCAGTAGAAGAACCTGATCTAGTATGGATGATCTAGGAAGGATTCCTTAGGAAGTGATGATGCTTGAGGTGAGAGTTGAAGGATGCAGAAGTATTAACCAGGAAGGGGTGGGCTTACCATGAATGTCAGAAAGGAGAAAGGTCCGGGCTCAGAGAATTGCATGCATATGGGTCCCATGGGTGACAGGATCATGTCCTATCCAAGGAACTAAAAACTATCCACTGTGACTACAACACATGGAAAGAGTCTGAAAAATTGGGAAAAGACAAGAATGGAGATGTAGATGGGAGTCATACCATGCAGGATTGACAGATAAGGGTTTGACAGTTTTCATCCTTGTCAGCTATATGTATGACCCACACACCAAAATAAAAACAAACAAAAAAATCAGTGCCTTGGGCTGGGGTTGTGGCTCAGTGATAGAGTGCTTGCCTAGCATGCATGAGGCACTGGGTTCGATCCTCAGCACCACATAAAACTTAAGAATAAATATTTAAAAAAAAAATCAGTACCTTGGCTGGGAATATAGCTCATTGGTAAAGTGCTTGACTGTACGCATGAGGCCCTGGTTTTGATTTCAAGTACCACATACACAGAAAAAGAATCAGTGTCTTTTGTGGGACAATTGTTATAAAACAAAGTTTATTCTGTAATACTTTATCATAATGAATTGTATCTCTTTGGTAAAAATAAACTTTGTAAATATTTCAATTATCAGATGAGATACAAAATCTAGACATTTATAAGTTGGTTTTTGTTGTTTTGGTTTTTGGTACTGGGTATTGAACCCAGGGACGTTTTTACCAATGAGCTACAACCCCCATCCCTTTTTATTTTTTTGTTTTGAGACAGGGTCTTGTTAAGTTGCTTAGGTCCTTGCTAAGTTGCTCAAGCTGGCCTGGAACTTGCAATCCTCCTACCTTAGCCTCTCAAGTCACTGAGATTACAGATGTGCACCACTGTGCCCAGTTGTAAGTTTGTTTTGTTTTGTTTTGTTTTTTGGGTACCAGGGATTGAACTCAGGGATACTCCACCACTGAGCCACATCCACAGCCCTATTTTGTATTTTATTTAGAGACAAGGTTGCTTAGGGCCTCACTTTTTCTGAGGCTGGCTTTGAACTCATGATCCTCCTGCCTCAGCCCCCCATGCTGTTATTTTTAATACGAGCAAAACTAGCAATTGGTTTACCTCTTGCTAATCAACTTAGTTCTTCTGGGCACTCCATGGCCTTCATTGGAGATGTGGCCCACATTCCCTTCTCCATGTAGAGCATCCAGTAGGGGTCTACCCCGTATCACAGCATTCAAAAATTATGAGGGAAAGCCAGCTGCAGTGGCACACCACTATAATCCCAGCAGCTCGGGAGGCTGAGGCAGTGGATCATAAGTTCAAAGCCAGCCTCAACAACTTAGTGAGGCCCTAAGCAACTCAGTGAGACCCTGCCTCTAAATAAAATACAAAATAGGGCTGGGGATGTGGCTCAGTAGTTGAGTACCCCTGAGTTCAATCCTTGGTACCAAAAACAAAAATTATGAGGGGAGGTGGGACAGGAGGATCACAAGTTCAAAGCCAGCCTTAGCAACTTAGCAAGGCCCTAAGCAACTCAGTGAGACCCTGTCTCAAAATAAAAAATAATAGGGCCTGGGGATATAGCTCAGTTGGTAGAATGCTTGCCTTGCATGCACAAGGCCCTATGTTCAATCCCCAGCACCACCAAAAAATAAATAAATAAATAGATAGATAAATATAAAAATAATAAAGGGCTGGGGATGTAGCTCAGTGGTTAAGTGCCCCTGGGTTCAATCCCTGTTACTGAAAAATATTAAAATTAAGTTATACTTCATGAATGTATAATGTGTCAAAATATACTCTATTCTGTATATCTAAAAAGAACAAATAAAATAATTTTTCAAAAATAAAAAAAATACATTATGAGGGGAAGGGGCAAAGGGAAAAGGACTTAACCCCTTCCTTTCTCTGTTTAGTTATGGGATGCTTCATGCCTCTGCCTTACCCAATAACTAATACAATATGTTGGGAACTATGGAAACAAAAATATATAATAATAATAAACTCATATATTAGGCAACAACAATAAAATCACAGATAAGACCTATGCCATATGTAGTGCTACCAAAAATCCACTTAGGGGCTGGGGATGTGGCTCAAGCGGTAGCGCGCTCGCCTGGCATGCATGCGGCCAGGGTTCGATCCTCAGCACCACATACAAAACGAAGATGTTGTATCCGCCGATAACTAAAAAATAAATATTAAAAAAAAAAAAAAAATCCACTTAGTAGGCAGATGCCTCATAAATATTACTGTAAAACATAGAATGACTTTTCCTACCCAGCCCTTAGATTCCTTTTTCCTTTAACTCTGAAGCAACGCTATCAGTTATGTTTTGCTTTTGACTACCAGTAACAATAATTTGATCACAGTGGCTTAATCATTTAAGGGTTTGTTTTTCTTAGTATTCTTTTGGGAAGTAGGAAGTCCACACTTAATACAGCAGATTCATCATGTCATCCCTGCTCTTCAATCCTTAATGTGTGTGTTTTGGTGTTTGTTTGTTTGTTTGTGGTGCTGGGGATTGAACCCAGGGCCTTAGGCTTGCAAGGCAAGCATTCTTCCAACTAAGCTATATCCCCAGCCCAATGTGTGTTTTTTATCCTTGTGGTTCAGAATGGCTAGAGTCTCATGTCCACATTTCAGGCAAGAGAAGGAGAAAGGCCCAGATCAGAAAGGTGTACTAAGCTATTCTCATCACTTTGAAGAGGCCTCATCCAGGAACTTTTATGGTTATATCAAAAAGCTGGGAAAGACTGGTTTTTAGAATTTGGATGTAATGCTGCCCTGCAAAAACAACAACAAACAAACAAAACAACAATAAAACAGGGTTTTGTTAATGAGGAAGAAGAGTTGTGTTGGGCTACAGGAACATAATTCACATTATAATTTTTTTTTTTTTTATAGCTGGCTCACCCTAGAAGCCCGACTCAAACTCTGCCACTTTCTACAAGCAACTTTGATGAACAAAATTGATACCAACTCTGCCAACTCCATGTGGTGACCCATAAAGTATACAGATAAAATTACCCAAATCTTTTTTAATGTAGTTAAGTATGTGTAAATATACTAATGTAATTCCATTTTCAGAATTACAGTATGTGTGGAGACTACACATACAATGGTATAAAGTATTTGGATATTTCCTAGTTTGCATGATGGTTAGAACCAGATGGGAAAATGCAGTCTTCAAAATGGTGTTTATCCTGCAATTGCCCAATTTAGGTTAGAGAGGTTGTTCACATTTAACTAGTTAACTCAAGTTTATACTGTATAGTTTTAGTTATAACATTAAGAAAATAAGTATGGTTCTTGTTCATCTTCTTTATTTGTGGCAACTAAAAATTATTTCAGCCTGTAAGGTTCATACATTTATTGCTATAAACTTGATCTATAAAAAAAAAACCTTCTGGGTTTCTTTCTTCTTCTTCTTCTTCTTCTTCTTCTTTTTTTTTTTTTTTTTTGATACCAGGGATTAAACCCAGAGGTGCTTAACCACTGAGCCACATCCCTAGTCCTTTTTATTTTCTATTTTTTTAAAAATATATATATTAGTTGTAAAGGGGCACAACAGCTTTATTTTGTTTATTTAGGTTTTTTGTTTTTTTTTTAAATGTGATGCTGGGGATGGAACCCAGTGCCTCACACATGCTATGCAAGTGCTGTACCATTGAGCCACAACCCCAGCCTTTTATTTTCTACTTTGACACAGGGTGTCACTAAATTGCTGAGGCTGGCCTTGAACTTGGAAACTTTCTGCTTTAAGCTCCCAAACCACTGGAATTATAGGCATGTGCCATTGTGCCCAGCTCCAGATTTTATTTCTACAGATACAAAATAGACCATCTCCCATCCAAAGACAACTATTTTCCAAAAGAATGTGAAGCAAAACACCCAATGTGACCTTAAATATTAGAGTGTACCACTGGGCTTTATAGCACACACCTATAATCCCAGCATTTTGGGAGGCTAAGGCAGGAGAGCTGAAGTTTGAGGCAGCCTCTGCAACTTACCAAGTCCCTCTCTCAAAATAAAAAAAAATAAAAATTAAAAGAACTGAGGATGTAGCCCCGTGGTAAAGCATTCTTGGATTCAATCCCCAGTTCAAGAACATAAAAAAATAAAATAAAATAAAATTAGGGCTGGGACTGTAGCTCAGTGGCAGAGCATAAAAATAAACAAAATAAAGGCATTCTGTCTATCTACAACTACAGAAATTTTTTTAAAAATACAATGTATCATTTATAGCACCTTAGGTAGGTAGTTCTAACTAACGCACAGAAATCTGAGGTATTCCTTATTTTTGTTTTTGTTTTTGTTTCTTTTCTTGGTGCTGGAGATTGAACACAGCATCTTACATTTATTAAGCATGTTGTCTACCACTGAGCTACATCCCCAGTCCTTCTATTCCTTGCTTTTATATCTGCTGTCTGCTTATGTATATAACTATACTTTTTTTTGGTGTGTGTGTGTGTGTGTGTGTGGTGCTGGGGATTGAACCCAGGGCCTTGTTTATGTGAGGCAAGCACTCTACCAACTGAGCTATATCCCCAGCCCATATGTATATAACTAAATAAAAATTTCATGAAAACTTCAACATAAAAAAAAAAAGAAAGAAAGAAAACTTCACTGTGAATCTTCAGCTTTCCACAATACCCTGCAAAGGATTCTTTGATGTCCCTGTCCCTGGTTCCCTGTCCTCACTAGTTTGTGTATTCAATAGTAGTAATAATGCACATCCCACTGTTTTTGTTTTTGTTTTGTTTTCCTTTCTTTCTTTCCAGTTTAGAGTTGTCAGATTTGGCAAAGAGGAATGCAAGAAACTCTGGGCTGGAAATGTAGTTCAGAAGTAGAGGGTTGCCAGGCAACCAGGTGAGGCCCTGGGTTCAATCCACAGCACTGAAAAACTAAACTTTTTTTTTTTATTCATCATTTATCTAAAATTCACATTTAATTGAGCATCTTACATTTTACTTAGCAATCTTATTAGTCATTTCCATGCAAAGTTGTAGAGTATATTTGGGAGCCCCCAGTTTGCCAGATATGTCTGCTGTAGCTTCAGCCAGGATTCCCATCACATATGTGCTAAGTATCATGGAACAGAGAATTCTCATTATGGTGGGTTTGACTAAAGGCACAAAGGCACAGGATTAGCTTTTTTTTTTTTCTTCCCCCTGTTCTGGGGATCAAACCCAGGGTCTTATACATGGTAGGCACTCTACACTGAGCTACATCCGCAGCCCCAGGAATACCTTTGATGCTGATATCCTCCTCTGTAGATCCCCCTCATCCATAGGAAGCAAGGATTTCAGATCTTCTCTGAACTTTCCAGTCTGACAGTAAGCAGCTATGGAAAAGATATCCTTGAAATATCCTCAAGTTAGCTTAGGCTAGAAAGATAATTTAGCAATTTCCCAGAAATGCCTCTATTTCCCCAGAAAAATATTGCTTTGAAATGCCAAATAAGAGTGTTAGAAAGTCACTAGACTGGAAAGCTGACCTGGGGACAATTTTTAGCACTTAAGAGGCAGTTCTCTGTTTATGAGACCTACATTTGTGTTTAAAGAACATTTATAAATTAAAACAGATAGTAAAGAGATAGCTATTTCTAGGAAAACTTTTTTGGTTTTGTTTTGTTTTTTGGTAATGGTGATTGAACCCAGCATGGTTTACCACTGAGCTACATCCTTAGTCATTATTTTTTTTAATTTTTTATTTTGAGACAGGGTCTTGTTGAGTCACTGAGGGTCTCACTATGTTGCTTGAGACTGACTTGAACTTGAAATCCTCCTCCCCTAGACTTCCAAGAGTAAAATTTTTTTGTTTGTTTGTTTGTTTTTAATTTATTTTTTAGTTGTAATTGGACACAATACCTTTATTTTATTTTTTTATTTTTATGTGCTGCTGAGGATCGAACCCAAGGCTTCGCACGTGCTAGGTGAGCGCTCTACTGCTGAGCCACAACCCCAGCCCCAAGAGTAAAAGGTTTTTTTTTTTTTATTTTTTTCTAAATATGTTAGTGACTTTTATATTGTGTGAAATTAAGCAAAGGCTGGGAGTTGTGGCTCAGTGATAGAGCACTTGCCTAGCATATGTAAGGCACTGGTTTGGATTCTCAGCAGCACATAAAATAAATAAGTTAAGTAAAATAAAGGTATCATGTCCATCTACAATTAAAAAGTGTATAAATAAATAAAGAAAATGATGACTGAGAAAAAAAGTAGCTGAGTATTTGTTAACAACATAATATTTTATGGGGCACTTATGTTTATAGTACCAATAAACTACAATATACTGTATTAGTGTATCTAAGTGACTTGATTATTCTTGTGGGATAAAAGTTCATAAGAAAACTGCATTAGAAATCAATAGATAAACATTTGCAAAGCTGCTATTGCTATTGTACCAGTATTAAAATATGCCCTATGTCACATCTTTTAGTAATTTTTATGACAGATTTTATATTGTAACTATTTGAGTTTTATATAAATGATATGGCTTCATTAAACTTTGCTTATCATATGCTTCCAATGTTCATTTTGACACTGAATGGTAGAGAATGTAAACAACCAAGGTGCATTTAGTTATATTTTTAAATAAAAATCAATAAAAACCTTTGGTATTTTTCTTTTTACCTTTTTTTTTTTACTAGAAATATAACACATAAAGTTAATAAAACATAGATACATAAATTAACAAATTATAAAGCAAAAACTTCTGTAAACACTGAGAATTAGACATTATAAAAATCTTTAGAAGTGCTGTCTGTGTCCCACTCCTACTGTTATCCCTTTCCTCACTGATAACCACTGACCTGCAATTACAAAGAGTAGTTCCTGGCTTTTACTTTCTAAGTATGCATCCCTAAATACTATGGTTTATTTTGCTTAGATTGGGACTCCATTTAAATCAATGATATGACAATATTGTTTTCTTTCTGGCTTCTTTCATTAGTATTTTTTTTTCTTTCTTTTGGTGAAGGGGACAGGAGAGTCCTGGGAATTGAACCCACGGTTGCTTAACCACTGAGCCATATCCCCAGCCCTTTTTGTATTTTGAGATAGGGTGTCACTAAGTTGTTCAGGACCTTGCTTAATTGCTGAGACTGGTTTTGAACTTGGGAACCTCCTGCCTCAGCCTGAGATGGAGTCGTTGAGATTACAAGCATGCACCACCAGGCATAGCTCATTAGCATTTATTCTTAAGATTTATGGGGCTGGGGATGTGGCTCTAGTGGTGGCGCGCTCGCCTGGCATGGGTGCGGCCCGGGTTCGGTCCTCAGTACCGCATGCAGATAGGGATGTTGTGTCCGCCGATAGCTAGAGGATGAATATTGAAATTCTCTCTCTCTCTCTCTCTCTCTTTAAAAAAAAGTGGGGCTGAGAATATAGCTCAGTGGTAGAGTGCTTGCATTCATAAGTCTCTGGGTTTCATTCCCAATACCACCCACATGTGCACACACACACAAATTAATCATATAACCATTATAGTGCTAGAAGTCATTTATTTTGCTACCTGAAAATATTTAATTTATTCTATTGTTAATGAACATTAGACTTGTTTAGAGTTTTTACTATTATGAATCACATATGCCATTATGAATGTTCTTGAACATGTACGTATGTACAAGTGTTATTCTAGTATAGCTATCAAGGGATGAAACTGCTAGATTATAAAGTGTACATATTTTTCATTTTTTTAGATACTTCCAAACTGGTTTCCCAAGTGTTAGTACTAACCCACAGTCTTCTCAGTAAAGTATGAGACTTTCTGTTGCTCCTATTTTCTTTAAGAGTGTCTTAACTATCTTATTTACTTGGGAAAACCTGTATATATTCATGTGTGTAGTTAATATACTATATACTACATTTTTGCTGGATTTATAAATCAAAGAATTTTAAAATGATCTTATGTGAACAAGTCACATACTGAACATCTCGAATAATCTACAAGGTGAGAATCACAACTTAATTTATTTGAATAAACATACAGAATTTTTCATGTTACTTCAAAGAAAGGATTTGGATATGTAGAAGCAAAAACAGCAGGGGATGGGGCAGTCGAAGTAGCCCATGCCTGTAATCCCAAGTTACTGGGGAGGCTGACACAGGAGGATCACAAATTCCTAGTCCAGCTTTGTCAATTTAGTGAGCCTCTGTCTCAAAAAATAAAAAGAGCTGGGGATGTGGCTCAAGAGTAGAGAGCCCCTGGGTTCAATCCCCAGGACCACAAAAATCAATAAATAAATAACTAAAAATGAATTGGGGCTGGGAATATAGTTCAGTAGTATAGCATACTAGCCTAGCATGCATGAGGCCCTGGGTTCAATTCCAGGACCGGGCTGGGATTGGTGGCACACACTTGTAATCTCAGCCACTTGGGAGGCTGAGCCAGAAGGATCTCAAACTCAAGGCCAGCCTCAGCAATTTAGTAAGGCTCAAAGCAATTCAGCAAGACCTTGTCTCAAATAAACAAATAAAATTTGGCTGGGGATGTAGCTTAGTGCTGGAGTCCCTGGGTTCAATTCTTAGTCACACACACACACACACACACACACACACACAGACCCAGCAGTAACAACAACAAAAACTGTTTGTTAAATAACTAACAGCCTGGGCAACATAGTGAGACACTTCCTCCCTTGGGGAAAAAAGGCAGGTCTGGGGGTGTAGCTCAGTGGTATAGTATGCATGAGGCCCTTGGTTTAATCCTCAGAACCGCAAAATAAATAAATAAATAAACTAATAAACAAATCCCACCACAGCTAACATTTTAGTACATATTCTTCCAAGTCTGAGAAATTATTTTAAGCTTTTCTCCACAAATGTTTCAAAAATCACTGGTTTCTTTTCCTTTGATATGAACTAATTCCTCCTTTCACCTTGCTTTGAAAGATGCTTCTAGAGTGGTGATTCTTAAACTGTAAAGTGTATAAACTCATCTAGATTGGGCCAAAATGCATAGGTCTGGGTGTGGGGGGGTGGCAATTCTACATACCCCCCGCCCCGTACTGGAGATTGAATTTAGGTGCGCTCAACCTCTAAGCCATATCCCAGCCCTTTTAAAATATTTTATATAAGGGCAGGGTCCCCCTAAATTGCTTAGGGCCTCGATGAATTGCTGAGGCTGGCGTTTGAATTTGAGATCCTCCTTTCTCAGCCTCCAGCATCGCTGGGATCACAGGCGTGCGTCATCTCGCCTGGCAATTCTACATCTTGGGTAGTAAGTTTCCATAAAATGAAGTCCTCCCTCCCTTTCTCCTTCCCTCCCTCATCCCTCCACCCCGAGGTTGAGAGTGCTAGGCAATCGCACAGAGCTAAATCCCCAACCCCTACCTCCCCAATTTCTTTCTCCCTCAACCCCCCCCCCCCCACACACACACACACCCTTCGTCCTTCCCAGACCCCTTCCTTCCTGACGAGGTCTCTCCCTTTGTTGACCGAGCTGGCCCCGAACTCCTGGGATCAAGTGATCCTCAGGTTTCAGTCTAAGGGTGGCACTTCAGGCCGTGCTCCGAGCCCAGCTGAACACCTTTGCTACTGCTAGAAATCATTTGACACTCTTTTTTTTCTTTAATATTTATTTTTTCAGTTTTAAGTGGACACAATATATTTTACATTTATGAGGTGCTGAGGATGAACTCAGTGCCTCAAGCATGCTATGCGAGCACACCTCTGAGCCATAAACCCAGCCCCTTGACACTCTTCTTTAGTAGAGTTTTGTATTCTTTGAAATGCGAACTGCCTCCAATTGTCTTCTTTACATCTCAATTCAAATTAAAGAAATTTCGAGTTACGGTCTCAAATTGAGGAAATGTAGAATTTGGGAACACCACGGCATAAAAAAGGAGCAGCAGGCGGCGGAACCAAAGTGAGAGAGGAGCAAGAATAGAGTCAGCGGAAGAACTATTTCGCCGTTGGACGGGAGCCGGTTGGGTTTACTGGGAGGACCGGAAGGAGTTGAAAGAAGACGCTCCACCATGGCGGGTCCTGTCAGTTTACGAGAGCTTCTAATGGGAGCCTCAGCCTGGATGGGCTCTGAAAGTCCCGGAGGGTCCCCTCCCGAAGGCGGAGGGAACGCGGCTGGCGCACCGGAGCCTCCTTGGCGAGAGGATGAGATCTGCGTAGTGGGAATCTTTGGCAAGACAGCTCTGCGCCTGAATTCCGAGAAGTTCTCTCTTGTGAATACGGTGTGCGACCGACAGGTTTTCCCCCTCTTTCGCCACCAAGACCCCGGGGATCCGGGACCTGGAACCAAGACCGAAACTGGTGCTGTCGGCGAAGCAGGTGTGCTGGCAGCTGGAAGAGCCGGGGACCCAGAGGCTGCAGCCGGGGATCCTGTTCGAGGAGGTGTAGCCGCGGTGGAAGGCAACCGAACTGAGCCAGGTTCTCAGGACTTCAGCCTTCTGCAGGCCTATTACAATCAGGAAAGCAAAGTTCTGTATCTTCTTCTCACTTCTATCTGTGACAATTCCCAGCTTTTGCGGGCTTGTCGGGCTCTTCAGAGTGGGGAAGCTGGAGGAGGCCTCTCTTTACCTCATGCAGAAGCACATGAGTTCTGGAAGCATCAGGAGAAGTTACAATGCCTCAGTCTCCTTTACCTTTTCTCCGTCTGTCACATCTTGCTCCTTGTCCATCCCACTTGTTCTTTTGATATAACTTATGATCGAGTATTCAGAGCACTGGATGGGCTAAGACAGAAAGTACTGCCCCTCCTCAAAGCAGCCATTAAGGATTGTCCAGTTGGCAAAGACTGGAAGCTAAACTGCCGACCTTGTCCACCCAGACTTCTTTTCCTCTTTCAACTCAATGGAGCACTCAAGGTAGAACCCCCTCGAAACCAAGACACAGCTCATCCAGACAAGCCCAAGAAGCATTCTCCCAAAAGAAGACTGCAGCATGCCCTGGAGGATCAGATCTATAGAATCTTCCGTAAGAGTCGAGTCTTGACTAATCAAAGTATCAACTGCCTCTTTACTGTACCTGCCAATCAAGCTTTTGTGTACATAGTCCCTGGCAGCCAGGAAGAAGACCCAGTAGGTATGTTGCTGGACCAACTAAGGAGTCATTGTACAGTGAAAGACTCTGAATCTTTGCTGGTGCCTGCACCCCTTTCTGGGCCTAGGCGATATCAGGTGATGAGGCAGCATAGCCGACAACAACTTTCCTTCCACATTGATAGCAGTGCTTCTAGTTCTTCAGGCCAGCTAGTGGATTTCACTCTTCGAGAATTCCTTTGGCAACATGTGGAATTGGTCCTAAGCAAGAAAGGTTTTGATGACAGTGTGGGGAGGAACCCACAACCTTCTCATTTTGAGCTTCCCACTTATCAGAAGTGGATCTCAGCAGCTGCAAAACTCTATGAAGTGGCTATTGATGGAAAAGAAGAGGACTTGGGATCACCCACTGGGGAGTTAACATCAAAGATTTTAAGCAGTATTAAAGTCTTGGAAGGTTTTTTGGATATTGACACAAAATTCTCAGAAAATCGGTGCCAAAAAGCTTTACCCATGGCTCATAGTGCCTACCAGTCAAATTTGCCTCACAATTATACAATGACTGTCCATAAGAATCAACTTGCCCAGGCTCTTCGAGTATACAGTCAACATGCTAGAGGTCCAGCCTTTC